CTATAAATAATTTATATAATGTGAGTAATATTTTAATCAAAAAAACTAATTATAATAAAGAAAACTAAGGTTGTAGCGGCAATAGTAAAAATTGTAGTAGCATTAACAACATTCTATGTATTACTTAAAATATAAAATATATATATATATATATATATATATATATATATGTGTGTGTGTGTGAGTGTACTTTTTAAAAATACATATATATATATATATATATATATATTTTTTGATTAAAACTAATAAATTATAATAATTTTTTATAAATTTATTTTAGACAATTTACAAAATAATAGGTTAAATAAATAGAGCACAACTTGGGCACATGTTCTAGTATATATCACAAAAGAACCATCTACAAAAACAATTCTAATAATATTATAAATCAAAATTATATATATATTTAGACTGTTTTATGTGTAAGAATATTTTAAGCCATATAAAATAATAATTTATTAATGATTTATTTTTAAAATAAAAAATATGTCTTAATAATTTATTTAGATATTATTTCATATATATTATAATTATTAAGTAAAATTAAGAAAATTATTTAATGATTTATGCTATATTTTTAAGTATATAATCTTGATAGGTTTTAAGGTGATATTTTTAAATTTTAGATTTATCATATTAGATAATTAAAAAATTCCAACTTATGCTAATAATAAATAATCCGTAATTATCTTATGATTATAAAATCCTTATAAAACACTTGAATAAATGGTTCATAATACCAAGTTATATCATTAATTGATATGATTTAATGTGAATCTGAAAGAGAATTATAAAATAAACATTGATCAAAAAAATTGATTAAAAAAAAATCATAACCTTTAAGAGACTTAAAAATTATTTAAAATAAAATTAAAAATATTAAAAAATAAAATTTAAGGTATTTTTTAATAAAAAGTTGACCACATTATTTGGTGAAGAAAGAAAAGGAGTTGATCAAAGGCAAGTATAGAACCAAAAAAAACAACCAATTTTCAACACTAGTCAAAGTTATTTTGTCTAATTTATATATGGAAGCACATGATGCAGCAACACCCTATGAAGTTCAAAGAGTACAACAATGATCAATGGAAAAAAGAAGAATATTCTAATATTTTATTAACAATTTTTTTTAAAAGTGTAGAGAACTCTTATTATAATCAATAGAGTGTTGTTGATAATGGGAAGCATTTCTTAGCAATTTAAAAATTAAAAGTCAAAGTAATTGTTTAAGACATGTTATTCAATAACCAAAAAGTGATTATTGGAGATACTGCAATAAAAGAATTTGCTCTTATTTGCAAAGAGTAAAAAAATAGTTTTTTAATCATCATTTTGTATAAGGTGACTGCCTAAAATACAATTCAATTTTTATAATGCTTTCTTTTCGGCATGGGGCCTATTGTTTCAGCAAATTTCTTGTGTGATTAAGGAAAATTAACATCATCCTGGTATTGCACCTAAGATGTGATATTTATTTTCAAGAGAAGTTTCAAATATATCTTGCATTATTTATGTGGCATCTTTGCAATTCATCTCTAATATGAAAAATCTGCATTGAACATTTTCAATTACTACCAATGTTTCTACCAATGATTTTAAAAAATCCTATCTGAACACTTGCATTTTATTTTTTTACCTGTGACAAACAACAATAAATTGATATTGTTCTACTCATTAGCCATTCTTTTCTTTCCTTAATTGCATAGAAGAAAATTATTATTTTATAATATAAAGAGGTTTCTCAATGCAATGTGTTTCAATTTGAAGGATAAAATAATGAAGACATTAAGCAATAGAGCACAATGTAAGATTGGCTATATTTAAGATTTTTTAATAAGAATTGAAGTTACAACAGTATTTAATGATTTTATTGCTTTAGGTTCTTAATGAATCAACTTCATCTTGTTGTAAAACAAGCCACTAAAGGACATTATTAACTTGGGTGGTTTCAATTTCATGGCAACTTTAACAAGAGTAAGTTTTTGGTTGCGCTGCAAAGAATGTCTCATGAAATCTAAATGCAAGTATTTTATTAGTATTGATTAGACATCATTAAATAAAGTTTTGAAGTGGTTGTTGGTGAATTGCTAGTGCATTTCTTTGTATTTTAATGAAAAACTGTATATTGCATGTCCATCAAATACCTTGTGGTTGGTGGCTTATGCAATCGTATTCTACTTTGATGTTGTACTAATAACATTAATCATGCTCTAAGTTGACACTGCTATTGTTAAATAATAGTATATATATCTTATAAAATTGATAGATGGTTTGCAAATTTATATCAATGGTGAATAAAACATTGATTTAAATCATTTTTCTAGTGTTATGTACATTATAGAATACTACACTTTATTTTGGTAGTTCTTTGCTGATGAAAATATTTTATCTTCTATATTTTGTGGTATTGGCTTGGTAGCTAATATACTAAAAGTCTCTTTTAGCAAAGAAAAAATAATAATTATCATATGCAACATTACTTCTTTTGTACCTTATTAGTTTTAATGACATTATAGTGATAGTGTTTAGTTGTGAAAGCAGCTCTCAAGATAGATTTTCAATTCTTCCATGTATTACCATGGACTTTGTTAGCTCATTAATTATCGATCTTGTGGATTTGGTCTAATCTCACTAGACTCTATTGAAAATAATGTATGATAATGTATATGTTTAAAAACTTACAAACAATCACAAGTTATTAATTAGACCTAAGAAAATTGAACTTATGTTATAATTATTATTAGAAGCTAAATTAAATAGATAATTTTATTAAACATGAATTTTAGTTGGTTCTTGTTTTTCTCACCTTTGTCTATTTGCTAGCAATATTGACAATGTTATGTGTACCATGTCTTGTATTAATTATAACTCTTCCTTAACAAACTACTAAAAAGACAAAAATTAATTGGATTTTGCATTTATTTTTTTATTAGAGGGGGTGTTACACTCCAAATAATATCATTTGCTTCAAAAAGCAGCTACATATCTTGACTTAGACAAAAAAAACAAACTTTATTTAGTTCAATATTGACTCACTGGAATTAAGTATATTATTTTTAAATAATGTCTTTTAGGTCTTTTCTTAATATAAATTAGTGTCTTATATTACTTAATATAGCACAATGTCCTACATTATAAGGACATGCTTAAAACCAACACAACTTGTTTATACTACAATACCTTAGATAATAGCTCTCAAACCAATAAATTTGTAATTTAAAAACATATATAGGTTACAAAAGAAAAAAATTACAAATTTGAATATGTAATAAGAGTTTGGTTCTTCTAAAATATTAATATACAACAGATAATTCAAGAATTATATATCAAACACAAATTTTTATTATTATTTTTTTAATTCTTATTATGATTATTTAATACTTTTATTTATGAAATGTTTTTTAAAAATTGCTTCTTATTTTAAAATAATGATGCAAATGATTTTTAGTTGGTAAGATAAATATATAAAAAAAAAAAAAATAGACTCATTAGTGCAACATGATTAATATATTTATTTTTCATCCATCTACAAGTATAAAAGATAGCATTAAAAAAATCAAAATAGTTAGTAATTAATTAGTCTTTAAAAATCATAGTAGGTAGGAGTATTATGGCTAAAATATTATCAATCTTAAAATTAAAATTAAAAAATAAAAATCATCTCACCAATTCAAAGTACACAATCATGATGCTTTTAAAAAAATGGATGATTAAGTATATAAATTTTGACTCATTTAGAATTTAATATCTTACTTTAATATTAAAAAATATAATTTTAATCCTATAATAAATATAAATAGTATATACTTTTAATTATTTCTACTATAACATGCCAATGTGCTAAAAATATGTTTCAAATGCACAATCTCACAATAACTACATAGAAAATTAAACTTTCTAAATTCACTTAACTAAGCCTAACATGCAAAGAGTAGTGGATACAATGGGGTATTTGGCACAACTTAGATTTATCTTTTATAGATTTATATTTCTCAAAGATATACCACAATATTTTATAATATAAATCTAAAACTTAAGATATTGCTAAAGAACTCAGTTTTTTACAAAAAAGACAAGTATCAAATTTGGCCTCTTAGAAATGATTTTTTTTAAGTCTTTTAGTACAAATCTTTACAAGTAGTAGATAATTTAACTTAATAAGCTAAAAAAAAACAACTCAAAACAAAACAAAACAAAGAGTTAGCATTCTACAAATATAAATTATCCAAAGGAACTTGCAACTCTATTTGAAATAGAATATATTAGAAGTATCTATATAATAAGCTTAGTTTTAAGAAATCTTCTTAAAATCTAATAAGATACAAGTACAATAGTTGCTTCTTAAATCAATGTGCCAATGACATGGTCAAGAAGAAAAAAATGATGGATTTAGAGAATTAACATTTTATATGTAGGAAAGGATTTAAAATAAATATATATATATATATATATATATATATATTAAATTACTAATTTTCTAGAAGCTAAATCAATTCCAATGGTACATCAATAAAAATATTATTTAGAAGCATTATTAAAAACAAAAACAAAAAACAAAAACAAAAAAAAAAAAGACAACAACAACAACAACCATAGTTCATATTATTTCTTCTAAGAACTTCTTTCATATAAAAAAGAAAATTTATATTTATATATATATATATATATATATGGTTTCTTATAGCATGTGTAGCACAAGGTTCTAGTTATCAGCACATGAAGAATCAAGACAGTGTATGACACGGCCATTTATCGACAATAAATAAACAAATTGGTACTTTGGGTCATAATGACATTATTATTTTTTGGTGTTCGATTTTTCAATTCATACAATAGACGTTCTCCACCAATGTTTTGAAGCTATCTTATTTAAAATACCCCACAAATATGCACTTTTTCCTTCCTTACTTCAGAAGAGCCGGCAATTCTTTTGCTGCATTTCTATACTGTCACTGCAACTCTGATCACGAATCGACAAGAATTTGGTCGTTTTCAACGGATGGCTTGAACGGAAATAAAATGAATTGTCGACTTTGCTTTGTAGATGTAAATGGACTGCAATCCACAACATCAGCTCTTTCGATTAAAACACACTTTGAGATGGAAGGCATCATCAGGTGCCTGGCTTTGCGATTATTCGATCGGTAACAAATTCTGTCACTGCCTATTTTTCATTGCCTAATATAGGCAAGAAACCTAGGTTCTAACACCGAATTAGACGTCACTTGCGAAAATGGGAGGGAGCAGAGAGGGTATAATTAGCCAGGTCGTGCCTACTACGGGCTAAAGTCAGAGACAATCCTCTCATCCTTCACAAGAAACCAGCAGACCTGTCGGGACCCGGTTTCTGCACAAATTTGAGGAGGAGCCAAGTGGGCTGGCGATCACTGCTCTCCAAGTCCTCCTTTCATTGAAACCATATCCTAGCACGCAGTGAAATTTAATTAACATACATACACCTCTTGCGGATTTCGCCCTGCCTGCCTGTGAGAACCTTGTACTCGCTCAGCTTCTTGAATGCTACCGTGAAGACTTCTCTCCAGGCAGCTTCATTTTGACTAAATTCAATGACGTATTTTTGGGTTCTTCCGTCCCAATAGAGAGCGGAGTCGATCCCCATCAAGCCTTGCTTGGTTACAAGGTTCTTGAAGTAGTTGTTGTCGAACGCCATCGGAGACGGCTCATCGTTGCGGAAGTACGTGAAATGGACACTTGTAGGTTTGGCAGGGCATCTACGCTTCAGCTTCTCGGCGAATACCGGGTCCATCTTGGGGTCTACCTTAGGGAAAATACGTTCAATGAAACTTGTGCAGTGGGCTCTTCCGATAGTGTGAGCTCCTGCGCACATTATAGTGGCACATCAGAACTAGAACCCAAAAGATAATACAATTGTGATAGAATCTGAATAATCCTGAGCGATCGATTATATTCGCTAGGTTCGAAGGCAAGCCTACTCACCCATAAGAGCGACCGCCTCTCGAGGGTTGATCCCAATGTTCTTATAGAATGTCAAGACCTTGGTGACACCGTCCTGGGGGCGGGGGATCGTATCTGCGGATGACTTCATGCTGTTGCGGGTGTCCTTTCGTCCAGTCTTCACGTGGATGTAAGGTCCTCCTAACTGCAAATTTTACCCAAATACATAAGAGAATCAGCATAGCGATCCAGCAGAAGTTATTATGGATACAATGCCTTAATTGAATTCCTAAATGAAAAAGCGCTCAGATTCCGTACCACTTGCACAGCGGCAGCTGAGCCAACTGCGAGAATGTCAGCGCAAGACACGACTCCTGGGCATACTTTCTCAACTTCGGCCTTGATGTTATTGACATATTTCTCGTTCCTCATGCCTACCATCGAGTGAGAGTCTTTCTCCGAAGTTTTGCCTGGAGCTGACAGGAGAAAGAAAGACGCGTCGGCGCCCTGCAAGATAGGAGAGCCGGTACAATTAGAAACAAATCAGACCACATTACAGATGTCGCGATGTCGGCGTGATCGTGTGGAAGGCAGAACTTACATTAAAGAAGTCGTGGAAGCCGAATCGAATGAAGGAAGTGGCGATGTTTCCTTTTTTCTCGTACATTCTGTAAATGCTGTCGCGGATGATTTTCTCAGCATTGGGGCATGATTTTCTGTAAAAGTTGTTTACTAGCCCGGCCGAATCAGCTACATTGACGAAACTCGCCGCACACACGAGGACCAGTACAGCAACGAAGGATCCCAAACGAGCCATTTTTACATATCTGCAGTAAGACGCAAGGCTCCTAGATCTGTAAGAACAATCAGTAGGTACCAGCAATTAAACAAGCTTTGTTCTCGAGCCAAGTCGCCAACACCATCGGTACAAACTCAGATGTTAAATGGCAACAATCGTGTCCCTGGTTCGCTGAAAACACAGATAGCGGAACCACTTCAATAGGTGTTCCACAGAACTTCGATTTCGTAATATTTGGGAAATGAAATCATCCTATCATAACGCCTTCAGAGATTCCTCTGACCGTTCACTCATTAACAATGGACACAAGCTCAATCTTCAATCGGCTTGTGTCCGTACAAACTCCGACGACTCTACCACATCCTCGTCAAGTCACTCAAACTCCAGGGCTTACCTCTTCCCAGCTTCTATGACCGATGACCAAAGATATCCGCAACTGAAACTGACCCAACACCTTATAGTCCTGCCACCTCGAAGATAAATTCAATCACCCGTTACTGCAATTGAGCTCGAGGTCAGTCAATACAAATGTTCTAATCCTTCTCCAGTATCAGGTGAAAAAACAAGTATCAAAGTCTATTGTTGGCAATCCAACCTGAGCTTAGCATCAATAGAGAAAAAGGGCAAGTGGCCTCGTTTATTCACTTTCGGAAGAAAACCCAGGGATTCAAGTGAACGTGGTGACTTCAAAGTCAACAAATTATAAAAAGGAAGATTAAGCAATAATTCCTCTGAGCAGGCGCGGTTGGCGTGCGCTACGATCGAAGTGTAGACCGAGATAGCCGGATCTGAACCACTGTTTTATGCAACATCCAACAGGAATACTATTCTGAGCTCATCGTCTTCCGTATTTGAGTTATCCATTGGGATGAATCTCGGATTGTGCTGCTGCTGCTGCTGCAGAGGTGTGATCGAAGAGTGACCTGAGCGATAGCCGCAGGTAAGTACCGGAGAGGCTGGTAATCTGTCTCGAAATCGTAGGACGGCACCAAACCATTTCACCGTCGAACCATGCTGTGACTTTGTGGATCGAAAGCTTCAGCTGGAGTTGATTGCACGAGGTGGGCACTCAGCTTACTGGGTGCCTGATCGGCAGGAGATGGAGGCAATCCAAGTTGGCACCGCGGATCTCCATGTCCAGGGTGTCTCCATTCAAGTGCAAGCAATGTTGACTTGGTGGACCTGGAAAAGAATCATCCTCTGTACGTTACTCCACCGGATTGTCTGAGGCTTCGTCACTGTTCCTTCTTGGACACTTTAACACCGACGCAGGTGATAGACAGTGCCTGAACAGCGCCGAGAGCGTGCCCGAAGTCGATTATTTACTACACGATCATATGTCTAGTTCTAGACTCTAATAAACTCGTTTCCTTTGCTACAGTGTAGATACGCACTTTGGAAATCCTTTTAATGAGGATCTCCTTTTGAGTGGTCCGCGCTTGATTTCGAAACTAGTTCACCCATTCATTCGTTTCTTATTGCATTGAAAGAATCTAACGCAATTTAAGCAGTGGCTTTCTTACTGTTCAACCATGTTCAAGACTACATAACATTAAAAATATATATATATAATTATAATATGTCATGATAGCTACACCGACTACAACGATGTGCTACAGATTTCATGGAAAAAGATTGAGAGGTCGAAATTCAAAACTCACAGGGCCAGAATAATGTGTTCCTTTCACAGTAGTTAGCCTAGACAAGTGGTTTACTGTCATTTACAGATAAGTAGCAATATTGATGGAGCAGGAAGAAACAGAAATGAGTGAATGAAAAATGAAAATACCATCCAAAAGTTTGCCAACTCACAATGGCGCAAAAGAAAAGTGTTGCAGAGGTAACTAATAACACCCAAATTTGAAAAGACAAAAATAACCAAAAATGCCATCAAAGCATAACCTTTTTGGGCACGTCGAGACCTAAAAGTCAAACTGAGCTACCTAGAACTGTCCATTGGTTCATGGATGAGGGAAGATAAGTTCCATCCTCATATTAGAATGCATCCCAATCATTAATTATCTCACAGTAAATTAAACTAGATACAAGTGCAAATAGCCAATACGAGGACCAAAGTGGGAATTTGCTACATTATACTCTTTATTCATTCATGATTCTTACACTACATGCTTGTTTTTTCTGCTATTTCTTCCTCTCACTGAGGTACATATGTTCACCAAACATAAATAGAGCTAGTACTATTAACTATCTAAGTATAGTAAAGAACATCGTGTTTGATGATAAAGCATACTGTTGCTCTTTGGTGAATTCATTGATCATTCAAATAATCTCACTTTGGGGTTTTGTACCTTTGAACCCCAACTTTTCTAGGTGATGTTGTGACACTACAATGGAGGTTGAGACAAATTCAAACAGGCAATTTATTGTACTGGTAGTGGGTGTTCACTACTACCATCCCATATTCATCTGTGTTTTGGATGCTGATTTATGTGCTGTATTGTGACATCTTGTTGTTATTTGCCTTCATGAGGGAGGCATTTTTCAAGTTGTGAGGTCTGCCACTTTTCTAACAGGTAGAGATGCAAGACCTGAATTGGACATAGCTATAGTTTTATTCTGCCACAGGTGCATTCCAAACTATTAAGCAGTTTAACATTTTAAAATATCAAAAATTTGGTGGTATAAAACTCAAACTATTATGCTGCACAGAGTCACATTTTGAAAAGTAAATTTGATGCACATGACAGTCAAGTTGTACAAATCAGAAATTAGACAATTAAAACAACCTTTATCTTGTTTTTTTCCATAGATTACCAAAGAATGTTAATGACATTATTTTGTATGGAATCATGCAGACATGTAACCTTTCATGTTAACTATTTCAAAACTTGTATGGTATCATACTCAACATGTTGCACAAAAAGGAAGCATGTTAGACATTCTTCAACCATATATATACTCATATACATATATTTTTCTTTAGTTGTTTTATCTATTTATTTTTTGCAATTGACATCATTGTTGAAATAATTAACATGAAATGTTCTATTTAATGCTTTAATTTATTTATATTTTAAAGATGTAAAGGTATTAAAACTCAATTATAGATTGCATAAAGCCATGTAGATTCCAGCTTTATTTTTCATGCAATCTACAATATATAATTTAGTTGCTTGATAATTCATCATTTCTATTCTTGTGCAATCTACAATAAAGAAATGATGAATTATCAAGCAACAAAATTATATATGGTTTGGTTTAATTTTTTCAATAAATAATTAAAATAAGTAGAAAATTTTAATATTTAATAATGTATAAATTAATTTGATTTTTGTAAACTAATGAATATATATTTCATTTAAATTTGTAATATGTGACAGTAAATTTAATATATATACGCATATACTCTTTCCAAATATTTTGGCAAGCTTCTTTTTGTATTTTATTATATTTTGTGTTTGAAAACTTCCATGTATATCAAAGACTTCACAATTATATTATCTTAATACAAGTTTTATAATCTATAGTAGTATCTTTAATATCAAATATGTGCTACCAAATAATCTTGCAATTTACTCAAAAACATATCTTTTTTTATACCCTTAGCTAATAATAATTATAGTTAGAACACTAGTTTTTAGAAGACATATTTTTGGATTGATAAAAGACGTTGAAAGTAACAAACATAGCTAATTACTTTATCTAAATAATGGAACTTAGATATATCTTTAAAAAAAAATCATATTATTTTATATATTTTTAAATTTTTTTATAATCATCTGTTTTATAAATGCTAAAAAAATTATAAATAGAAATAATTTTAATTTTTAAAAAATTATTCAAGTAATATTTTAAAGCTTTATAAAAATAATATTTTCTAAATAGAATTTTATAATTCATTGAAGAAAGTTATGGACATTTAACTAAATCTTTAAGAAGTTTCTATTTTTATTAGAAAACTATGAGAGAATCTAACAATTTAGATACTTGCAGGCTTGCAAGCTTTGTGGCCCTTGAGAAGCTTTTAGATAGCATTTTCACTAACCTATATACATGTAGAGAAAACAAAAGTCATCCTTAATCTTGTCAATACCTTTCTTGTACTCAAGAATTGGTTTAAGACTCTCTAAGTATTTTGTACTTGAGAAAAGTTATCTTTTAAACTTTCTTTTATATTACAACTGTTTTTTTCAATCATCTATCTTTCTTTCTTAATTCTAAATGAGTGTATTATCATTTTAAACACCTACTTAGATTTGTGTCTTTGATACAATTAAATTAAATTTTAATGATATTACAATTAAATTATTATTATTTTCTTTTAAATATAAATTATAATTTTATTTTTTTACCATATTTTTATTTTTTAAAAATTAATCACAATAAAATTTCTAATTTCTAAATTTCTTAAAATTATTTAACTTTAAATTAAGAATATCAAATTATATTAAAGCAAAAAGCATTTGAAAAATCATCTTCAAAAGATATCAAAAAAATAAGTAATAAAATTAAAAGCATGTAAATAATACATGGATATACATAAAAAAAACATTAGTTATTTTATAAGACAATTTAATTAAGAAAATTATGGCCAAGTTATAATTAAAACAAGATCTTATTATTAATTTTAGTGGTTTATTGTTTTAATTAGACATAAAAAAGTAAAAAAGTATATTTAAATATTTCAAAAAATAAAATAAAAGATAATAGATGGTTTTTTTTGTTCTAATAGAATATTGTAAAAATTTAGCATACTTATATTATGTATACATGTTGTCGAATGTTTTAAAACCTTAAATTAAAGTTAGATTCTTTCAATGATTTTTATAAAATTTAGTAGGTTATAAAAAAATTGATATAAAATAGAATTAAAAAAATAATTAAAAAAAAATCAAAATTATTGAATAATGGCCAATTCAAATACATTACAAAATTTGAAATAAGATAAGTAAAAGACTATTTTATTTCGATTTTATAATTTTATTAAAAATGAGTTCTATAAATTATAAAAAAAGATAAAAATGATATTTAAAAATAAAGAAGTAAAAAATTAAATTTAAATAAGAGCTACAAATTTATTTCACATGTAATATATTATTTTAGAAGTACTCTTAGATTTTTTTTAAAATATATATATATGTATATATATATATATATATATGTATTTAGATTTTAAAAAATATTTTATTAATAAGTACATGAACAAATTAAGTATTTCTTCAAAAACATGAATGAATATGTTTACCAATTCAATATCTTTTTTATGTTAAATAGAATAATTAATTTTTAATTGTAGTGTGGATTGCCAAAATAGAGATGTCTTCTACATCCAAAATTATGTTAAATTTTAGCTCTGTTTTTTTATCAAATCATACGTAGAATTAAAAAAGATTAGATAAAAAATAAATAAATAAATAAATTTATCACTTGTATTATTTGAAGGCTATCTAAAGTAACACGAGAATTTTTATCTTTTAATTCAGCAATCTTAAATATGAATCTCTTAAGCTTTACACCTTAAAGAACCTTATTTGAATAAGTGTCTTTGTAAATTTTCTACTTAATTTTAGATCTAATTTATTTATTATTATTTTATTTTATTTTATTTTTTCTATCTAAAATATTATTCTAATAATATTAATTGTTTTTGAAAAGTGCAAGATTTAAAGATCTCCTTAGAATTAGATATAGATAGTTTTGAGATATTTTTTTTATTAATTTAATTTTATCTTATTAAGGTTAGTATTTACAAAATCATCTGTGGAACTTGGTAACTATGTAGAATTTCAACATGAGCATATTTTATACTATTTTCTATATAAATTTTTAATAGTAGTCTAGATTTCTCCTTGTCTAAGTAATAGACATGAAGTTTGTAGTTCAAGGATGATCTAGGTTATGTAGATAATTTAAGAAGAAGGTTGATTGGAAGGTGGTCTACGAAGTTTAAGTCTCTACAAATTCTACATTCTACTATGTGTATTAATTGCATAATTTATCATATATATTTTATATATAAATAAATAAATAAAAATCAAGTCTTTCAAAGAAGCATAGTTATTTTTTAATTTTTTCATAATCTATTTAAGATGTTGCAAAACTAAAAACAAAAACAGAAAAAAACTATTAGGTCCAAGTGTCTCTTTTGTATTGGTATGCAGCTTGTTCTATAATTCTCAAGTTTTTTTTTGCATGTAGAGGATTTATTCACATCTTCTTCTATTATATTGCAAATTCTACCAAATTTTTATCTTTGATTAATTGGAAATAATTCTTCGATACTTTTATGGTTGTTAATTTTTATTAGAAATTATTCTATATGCTCTAATTTAGGTACTACAAAAAAATAAATAAATAAATAAATAAATCTGACATTCTATTACCTTAAAAAGATTCAATATGAAAATTTGAATATTTTAAAGGAAGGTTAAGATAAATTCATAATCTTATTTTTTTACCAACATTTTCCATCTAATTATATTTAGATGTAGCTTCAAAAATTTCACTTGGTTCTATAAAATTGTCTAAACTCCCTTGCAAAACACTACTAAGTTATTGTTTGGGAAAAGCAAATTGTACATTAGTGTATATATATATATATATATATATATAGACTTGATTTTAAATAATTTATTCTTTTACAATTGTAGGAGATAATGATTAGCTTTATAATCAAATTGATTGAGTGGAAGAAAAACTCATATCAACACATACAATGTCTTTCTAGTATTAAATATTGTTTAGAATAAATCCCAAAATAAGAATCTCTTAAAAAGTCATTGATAGTAGTACAAAGGATGCATGTTGAGATGATTTGGAATGAGAAGCTTGAGCTAGATTTGACTTTTAAAGGTTAGATTTTCAAGCCTACCACTCGCAAAATTTGTAATAACCACACATTTGCACAAATACTCTATTTTATGTTTCAACACCTTCATGTCTACTTCTATCAAATATTTTTAGTTGCAAAGTAATAAAGCACCAAAGTTATGAAAGAAGTATAAAAAGATTACATTTTTTAGAAAGCCTTGATGTAGATTGAAGCCAAAGATGGAATTGCCTTTTTCAAACCTTGTGCAGCAAAGTCTTATGCACATCTTATTGCACAATCTTCCATACCCTTGTTAGTATGTGAGTTGTTTTTAATCTTATTTGATGTATTAGTGTCTTTTGTTTGCATGTAATTAGATGCCATGTAAAGAAGATAACTAAGTTCTTCCTAAGCCATTTTTGCAAAGGAGTGTGCTTATTCTGCAATGAAAAGAAAAATCTAAAAATGGACTTTTTCTTAATTAGTCCCAAAACACATAAAATTTATTTGATACTAATTTAAGCAAAGATAACTTTTAATAAAAAATTCTTCTATAATTACTACCAAATTTTGTAAATTTTTATAGTGCCAAAAATCCTAAGCACAATGGACTGTCTATTATTGTGCTCCCACAAATATTAATCAATAATATTGTTTTTTTATAGAACTTATTCAATTTGTAGTTAAATCTAATGCATTTTATGTATTATAATTTAATATATGGTCTTTTTTTATTAGAAGTAAGTTTTTATATTTAATTTATTTTTTATAAATGATAATAAATTATATATATATATATATATATATATATATATATATATATTGCAAAAGAGAGAGAGAAAAAGAGAATTGTTAATGCTACATCTCAAATTGATATTGTTATATCTCCAATTGATATCATTACATCCCATGTGACCTCCACATAACTTAAATTGACTAAAAAGCACTCTTCTATGCTTACGGGGCATTTAATATCCTAATATTTAACCTCAACATTGATCCAAAAATAGAATAAATTAAAAAAATGAGTTTTTTGTGTTTTTGGTAGCCAAATTATTTAAAAAAAAAAAAAAAAAAAAAAAAAAAAACATCAACAACAACAACAACAACAATTTGCAACATTTTTTTTCAAAAAATATTCATTATCTCCCTCTCAACCACCCCTCTTTCTTAAAGTAAAGAAAGGAAAAAATGCACAAAAGAAAGAGACATATTATTACCTAGTTGTCTATGAGGAGGTTACATGGAGTGTAGCAATATCAATTGGAGATGTAGCATTAACAATTCACTATATATATATATATATATATATATATATATAACTACACACACACTAATTGTATAATAGTTATTTTGATCAAAATTTGAAGTTTATATTATGAATTAAGTAGGTTCTTAACAAATATTCTAACTCAATTTATGTAAAAGTTAGGAAGTAAAACTTTATACTGTTTTGAGTATGTTAATACTATATGGTTGAATTTAAGACCATTTTTGCGAAATATTTAATTTTAAAGGACAAACAATTCTTACTTATAACAACTCACCTTCTTTTAACAGCTTCACCAAGTCTAAAAAGTTACAAATTACAGTACTTTAAAATTCGACCAATTTCTTAAATACATTATTAGTAATTCAATCTGTAATTGGCAGTAAAACCCATACACTTCGTATCATCTGATATCGTATTGATGAATGAACTTCCGTATTAAAATGATGTGACGAACTCTACCCTGCTTAAAGTTCGAGACTCTCAATCTCAAAATTTGTATTTCCACTTAATTTAAAATTGTGACAAGTAAAATGTCAAATACCAGCAAGAGTTTGCGTTTGTATACACAAACTTCTACTCACTTTCAAAAGTAAATGCACAGCCTGGTTGGGACACCGCCTTATTACAGCCAAATTGATTGATCATAATTTAACATTGGGCAATCCACCTGGGTTTCCAGATGAATTGTCTTGGACAATCCACGTGGAGGGAAAATGTAGAAAGATAACACATAATCCAGCGTCATCAAAAGTTCTTCAGACTCGCATAAAACTTGTGCGTAAAAGTCAGGATGCTTTACGTCGGGCAAGCCTAGGCCCTCAAGATTTGGAAAAACTTTTCACAAACGATACGGACGAGAATACACCTACTTTTGCTCGAGTCGCCAACTCCTTCCAGAGAAGTGAGGATAATTCCACAACAATGGTCAAAACACCCTCAACGCTGGTAGAACAACTACTCAATCAGGCCATCAAAGGCCACTAGACACAAGCCCTCTCCTAGTACATGGACCTTCTAGAAGGGCCACATTACAGCCAGAACTAAAAAGTCCAACAGCAGAAATTTCCTAATAATAAGGTCTGTAACGCATTGGCCTCCTGAACCTGGGTACTTTCCTGCACATTACATCCACTAGTTAGTGACATAAAAGACACAGGTGTTCCTCTTGCCCAAATTACCTTTACAATACGCAAGCGCTTTGTAAAGCTCCTCTGCAGATTGGTATTAACTAAAGTATACAACTACCAAATTATCAATACAAATAAGATTCTACAGCGCAAACTAATGTTCTTACGAACATAAATACATGCTTATGTTTTGATAACAATTGCCATTCTTCCTATCAGCACGGAGGAAACCAACTATCAGATTAAAAATAATAATTGCAGAGAAAACACGCAAACTTTGAACTCGATATGAAATATGCACACCACAAGTCAGAATGGTATCCATTAAGGATGCCCACCCAGGACTATAGGAAGCATACCCATAGGGGGGCGGATAGGGCCTCCTGGAGCGGTACCCATAGTACGGTCTTCCCCGATAAGCCTTCATTCCTGGCACGTTTGTCCTCTTTGCTGTGACCTGCCAACACGTTCAAGATACTCAACTCTAGGCGCATTCATGCAGAAGTATTACACAGAAGGAATCGATAACAAGGAGACAGCCTGAACACAAAATAGAACTCGTACACGACGACCTACCGGAGGCTAGTGTTTCAATCAAGCAACAAAAATTAAACCTTTAATATAAACCCACAAAAGTGGCGCAACTCAGACTAGATCACCAGTGCCAAAACTAGTGTGCATTACAACCGAAACTCAAGTGGAATGAAGTAAATCAGTGTATTCAACACATCCAGAGGAAAGACTCTACATTTTGGTCATGAAACATCCTCTAATAAACATAATTACATTATTTATATCATAATCATCTCGCATGAAAAATCTAGCATATAACACAATAACAACTAGCAAACACATATGAGATGAGATAGAACCTTCAAAGGACGATTATGCAACTCAGATTCACTAAGAAGAATGGCATTTTGAACTGCTTCAACCTCCAAAAACTCCACATATGCAAACCTGATTGCACAACGAAACCAAAGAGTCAGAGAAGTAAAGAAATTGTTAAAGCTTTGTAAGAGTGAAAAAGGAGAATTCACGCCCAGCACTCTTCGCCAAAGTGCAATTTCTGTGTACCACTGAGGAATTCCTCAATGCAGTCACTGCAATCCATATCTGCTAAAACATCTGAGACAAAAACGCACAGACAAATAAAACGAGTTCTCAGATCATCCTCGTTCTCATCGCGTAGTGCCTTGGCTCACAATCCTTCAAACATTAAACATTTCCTAATAGTATAGAAAAGCTACCCTTTGGGCTGCCCAAACTTGTCCGTCAAAATTGTGACACGGTTCACCGTCCCACACGACTGGAAGTGTTGTTGCACCTCTTCCGGAGTGCAGGAATAATCAACCTGAAAAGAAAAGAGAATAAAAGGACAACGTCACACTGATGATCATCGTTAACTATTCTACAACTCATAAATGCAGGAGCTCCTGCAACATATCCAACTAGTATTGCATCGATCAACATGCAGAACACAAATAATGTACGAACAAAAATCCTGAAGAGGTCATACTGCAAAACCTGTCACTACAAGAACAAAAACCATAGGTAGCATCGATGCAAAGAAATGAAGTGATTACGTTGCCGACAAAAACTGAACGAGCATCTGCCTCCTCTCGATTGGTAGCAGACCCATCTTTACCTACAGAATCTGCAAAATCAACCTACCGTGCTATTAGTTCATCGTAATTTCAGACAACACCTAGGAAATACTTGCAACCTACCAATTACAGGATGCGCATGCTGAAATTGCACTCTTCTCACTCATGTTAACGTTCACCGTTGCTACAACACCGTTTACATAACTGAATATTTGCAGATGATACCTCAATGGTGCAGTAAAACATCGGACGTAAATGCCTCGATTCAAGATTCTGATTACCGAGCACAAAGCTTATTCATACCCTTTGAATGTAATGCAATTTCACTCTCCAACAAGTCAAGAGGTGAAATCTGGTAAGAACATACGGACCTTGGACAGCACCCATTTCTTTCTCAACCTTGGCTTGCATGTCACGTAATGCAGCAGCCTCCTCCTCCATCTCTTTCAGACGTTTCTTCATCTCCTCCAGTTCCTGATAAAATACACACGACAAGACGACGAAAATAAAATTCACAACTACTAAGCAGAGTCTATTTTTTAGAGGTCCTAAATCGAACACCAGAAACTTACCCAAACTTAATCCTACAAAAACCACTGGTAGCCGTTCTCACCAAATTCAAATAGAACCCCACGGACAGATCGCGCTCTACCTAAGCTACTTTTTCCATCGTAATATGAATCACAAAATTAAAGGGTTACAGATGTAAGCACGAGCGAATTCTGCTAATGTGACAATTCAGTATCTCCACGATTGCCACAATGATGTGGAAATAAATGCCTCGAGTACCGATTGTGATTATAAAGATTCAAATCTGAGCAAAGAGAAATGAAATTCTAGGAAGTACGCCAACGGTTGAGCTCTAGAAGGACTCTAATAAACCTTATCACCAAGCTTCCCCAATAACACCTGGCGTAGAGTCGATCGAACCAATTCTCCCGAAAACCTAAATTCGTTATTAAAAAAAAAAAGAAAAAAAGGCTAGCTTACAACATCACCCAACTATAGTGAATTCTCCATATAACACGCAAAAACCACCAAGATCTACGACAAAGCATGCAAACAGAGCATCAACGTGATTACCCTCACATATCAGTACATACACTGGCGAGCACATTTCCAATCCTCACAAGACCCTCTTCTTAGGCCACATTACTGCACCCTCACCACAATTAAGCCAATTTTACCTTGGAAGCAGCTTCGTCAGTGGTGGTATCATCCCCTTTGAGAACGAGGTCATCGGGCTCCCCATCCAAGTCGCCCTCTATGTCTCCCTCCACTTCTTCGGGTATGTCACCCCCGTAAACCTCGTGCTCCTCCTCCATAAGCCCCCTCTGAGAAACGCCCCAACTCCAACCCTAACAGTTGAGTACTGCGCTTCTCTCTCTCTCTCTCCCTCTCTCTCTCTTGAACACGAATCGGCCACTGGCTTAAACCCCAAAAAAATTCGATTCCACGCAGAGAAGCTCAAAAGAGGTTCCGAAGAGGGCAGACGACCGAGGATTGCAGCTGCGGAAGGGAGATCGAGGCAGCCTTTCGCAGCGATGCTCGCAGTGTGGAGTTGCCTCCTCGCTCACTACGAGCTCCGGGTCATGCATGCCGTTACATTGCTCCACCTCACCGTGTGCTCCAGATACCCTGTCCCCCGAAAGCCCCTGCCCATGCCCCCGTATACCCTTCCCTTGCTGATGACAACCTGTGGTTACCCGGATAAATCTTGCCAACTTGTTATCCATCACCGTTCCGTTGATGTCTTATGTTTGGGCGATCTGAAGAGGCTCCAGCCCCCCCTTCATTGACATTACACTTTTGGATAATGTTTGATAATCTTGGAGTTTCAAAGTTTTATGTCAGTAATACGAATTGTGAAGGAAAAGCAAGTGAATGTTGTTGGAAAAAAGCTACTTTTTTCAAAAAAGTGAATGTTGTTTTGGTAATGTAACGATGAAGCAAAACCACACAATTTAATCTGTAACCAAAAAAATTAATGAATAAAAATACAATCAATGTTATTGCGTTTATATGTGTAATACATCGTAATAACTTACACGTGTAAAAAATGAAAGAGGTGTGTTGTTCTATTGGAAAATAAATTAAAAAACTAAACGTATGAATGATTTACCAAATGTAAGATAATTATTCTTACACTAATCAATATGAAAGTCCTTTGAAATACATGTTATATATTATTCTGGAATGTTCTAATAAACAAAAATTGATTCTTTAATTTTTATTGGAAATACAGTGAATATAAAAATAAACCTAAAAAACTATCCTATGCAATTGACATGACAGCCGTAAGTTTTGGATGAGCAAATGGTTACGAAATAGCGGAAAATAATTTTGTAATGAGTATATGCATTCTGTGAACAGGAATAGTTAAATAGGAATATATTAGATGCTGCCTTCTAAAAGCACAACTCATATTAACTGATATTTAACAAGACATGTTGAAAATTTGGCATCAAATTGAATAAGTTCTATCAAAAGTATTATGTTTACATAAATAAATTAAAATTCGATAAGTGACATAAATCAAACTGTAAATTTTGTAAGTTAAAAACTAAATTATATACAAAAATATAAATTTATTTTATATTATATATATATATATATATATATATATATATATTGAAATTAAGATTCTAAATGTCTCTTTAAACAATTGAAAAAAATTGTTGAAAAATAGAGAAAAAAACTATACACAACAAAAGAAACTTATTCTGAAGAGAACAATTGGTTAAACAAAGAAGACCACGTAAGGCAATTGGAAGATACCTGAAAACAACAAGAGAATAATTGAAATAAAAATCAATAATTATTTTGGCAACAAAAAGAGTGTGTTGTGTTCAAGATTTATTTTCTAGGTGCATAACACTAATGATTCAATACAAAAAAAGATGTATAAAAACTACAAAGCAAAAGAAATTTTGGTTGCCTTTGTCTAAGTACAAACCAATTTACATAGAATCAAAGCCAATCTATTCTATTAGATAAGTAAATTGATAAAATTTCTTAGAAACAAGGGCAGAAAAAATATTAATAAACTTGACTTAATTTAATATGAAGATTTGAGAATCATTAAAAAATAAAATTGTGTTTAAATGAAATTGCCCCGTATTAATATTAAATATTTGTAAAATTTCGTCTGTAAAGATTATAATTAATAACAAGAGCAAAAAGAATAAAAATAAAATTTTAGAATTTTATTCTTAGCTTGAGAGTAATAATTTTAAAAATATTAATTAAAACTAAATAAGAAATTGAAGTGATAATTTTTTTGTTGTTAGATATACAATTATAATTTTAAAATAAATTCTAAAGGCAGTAATTAAAATTATTTAAATATATATATATATATATATATGTTGCCGGTTGGAAAGACCAAATTAGTCAATCTAACTAAATAAAGTTGACTAAGCTATAAAAAAATAATTTTGTACAAGAAATGTTGATTGTGTATATAGAAATGGTAATTTAAATATATATATATATATATATATATATATATATATTAAAAAAATTAATAATGATTGATATTTTTTTATAGATGATTTTAGATTTTTTTTATATTAATAATAGTTGATATTTTCTTAGGATTAACCTTAAGTTCAGTCTTTATATTATACATCTAAAAACCATTTTTAAAAAGTAATATAGATATTCTTTTTATCTTTGAGTCTAGTTTTGTACTTTTTATTGTTGCAATATAAATTTAAAATATTATACATTTTTATAATAGACAGTATTATATATATATATATATATATATATATATATAAAGCAAAATAATCATCTAAGTTTTTTTTAAAAAATATGAAATATTGAAAAGAAAGTAAGGAATTTTTATCTTAAAAAATATTTATAGCTAACCTTACATTAAATATTTTATTTATTAATATTAATAATATTTATTAAATTATGAATATTTTTAATATCTATTAAATTATGAATATTTTTAATATCTATTCTAGTATAAATTTTAATCAAACTTTATTTCTAATAGCATTTGATGACAAAGATAAAAATATGTCATATTTTAAAAATTAATTTATTAAATCTATACGAATTTATACATATTGTAATAGATACTTACATTGATTCAAAAAGATGATTATAATTTTTTTTAAATTTAACTTATTTTATTTTATTTTTTTTAATTAGAAGAACATATAGGTGCATAGTCTAATAAATAAAGTTGTTAATATATAATTCAAAAGTCAATATTGTAGAAGATTGTTTTAAAATAGTTTTGTCGATGAAGAATTCTTTATTTATGCATGTGTTGCTCATTAAGACAATTTTTTGACTACCTCTTTGTTATTCATTGCAAAAAACATTGTGACCTCTATTGTAACTCTTTGTTGCATCACTTTATTTATTATTGCACTTCTTTTATTTCTTTGACTTTGTAAAGCATTGTTATTTTATTTTATTTTATTTTTCTATACATGTTTTTGTATCATAATACAACTTTAAAGTGAAAGAATACATGACCAATAATCTAAAAATAAATGATTGAAAATATAATAGAATTTTACTTTAGAAATCATAAATAAACAACGAGTTATTAGAAATTTTAATCTATTCTACCTATTTTTTGTTAAAAGGATTTATACTTACTTTTTAGGACCATAAATAAGACAAAATAAGATAGGTATGCAAAAATAATATAATAGGTACCTCCAAATAGAAGCAAAGGATAGCTTTTAGCAAAAACATACTTAGAAAAACCATTGATTGATATCTGAAGAAGACCAATTGTTAACTAGGGTCAAAATCAAATCCCAAGGCACAAAACTGGGCACTTGTTGCAGCTGAAAGGTATTTTGTTTGATTGGAGGTGGGAAGGAGGAAGAGAAGAAAGATTAACAAAATATATATATATATATATATATATATTTATTTATTTATATTTATAAGCATGGATATAAAAGGTTTTTAGTGTGACTTGATTTTGTAAGAGCTTTGCAAAGTTAAGATTGTTTGAAGTAACTATGATTTTTATGAAATAAAAGAGGATTAACATTTTGGAAAATTTTGTGAATTTTATAGTAGTAATACAATTTAAATTTTATAATTTGTGAATATAGTTGCATTCGATAAAAGCCATGGATTTGAATTTAATTTAATAATTAAATTAAGAATTATTAAATTTAAATATAGAAGGATTTTGGAAGTTGAGGCATGAAGGTGAAAAAATATTTCTGTATTTTTGAGCAATTCTTTGGTTTGATTGAGGTGGTATTTTGTAAGGTAATAATTGATTAAATTCTTAAAATTCTAGCAAAATTTAAGTACTAGTGAATGGTACAAAAATAAGATATTGACATTAAAATATTGACATTAAGTAAGAGAAAGAAGATGCTTGACATTAAGAAAATTATTTTTATTATTTTTTTTCTAATTTATAAATTTAATTTAAAATACTTAATTTATAAAATTAATTTTAAGTCTGATTATAACCTTACTTTTAAAATTAAAAAGTATAATAAATTTGAACTAAAATCAATAATAAATTTAATAAGTAATACGATTTTAAATTTGTTATATGATTTGATTGAAATTGATTAAAATTTAATTAAAATTTTAATAGAATTTATTTAAGATTTTTTTATGATTTTTTAGAATTGCTATTGAATTTTATTAGAAATTATAGAAATAAATAAAGATTCACTTAAAATTTGTTTAAATTTTTATTAAAATTTATTAAGGTTTAATTATAGTTATTTTAGAGCTTGATTATGATTTAATTTGGATTTAATAAAGATCACTTAGGATGTTATTAGGATTTTTTAAGATTAAATTAAGGTTTTTTTAGGACTTTATCAAATTTTTATTAGGATTTAATCAGGATTTATTTAAGATTTGTTTAGAAATTCATTAAAAAAATCAGGGCTCTATTAGAGTAGAATTGAGATTTGATTAAGGATTTTAAAACGTATTTAAGATTTATTTAGAAATTCATTAAAAAAATCAGGGCTCTATTAGAGTAGAATTGAGATTTGATTAAGGATTTTAAAATGTATTTAAGATTTATTTAGAATTAATTAGAATTTAATAAAACATATTTAGGATTTATCTAATCTTAATAGGATGTACTTAGAATATTTAGAAGCTTACTAAGGTTGTTTTAGATTGTAAAAAAATATTTTTAAACACTTTGTGAATTGTTATCGGATTATAAATTCAACTTCAAGATAAGTGGAGATCCTTTCAAAATCAGATGTTCTATGTATTCTTGGATTGACATTCATATAACACAACAATGCACACGTCTTCATTATTGTAACAATTATGCCATAGTCACTTCAATTGTTTCATTGTCACCATGTAGGCTATTGCACAAGAAAAAGAAAATGTGGTTGTACAATTGTTAGAGCAAAGACTTTTAGTGTATAGGATGTTAGCTTAATTTGGTATTAGATTTGCAAGATTTGGTTGTATTTTTAAAATACTTATTTTAAGGTGTTATAGTGTCAATACAGTGTTTTGTTGTAACATGGCTATTAAATGAAAGAACAAAATATATGTATGTATGTACGTATATAAATATGTATATAATAGAAGAGATTAATTGAAGATTTAATAGAAATTTACTTTAGACAT